TACTGGGCCCTCGGGCTCCTCTCTGAGGCCTTAACATGTGAAAGAGAGCCCTCAACGTTGTGGAGGGTCATCTCCTTCGCTCAGATCTCCTTATCAAAGTGTCAGCCTTGCTGGRCATGGTGGTGCCCAGCTGTAAGTCAGCCAGCTACTTGGGTGGCTGGGCAGGAAGATCTTAAGTTTAAGGCCAGCCTAGAAAACTTAGCAAGACCCTGTCTCAAAACAAAAACCAAAAATGGTTGAGGGTGTATCTCAGTGGTAAGGTATCCCTGATTCAATCGCCTGTACCAAAAAATAAAATAATTGAATTTTTAAAGTCTAAAATAGAAAATGTTAGCCTTATCTAAAACTGCTCCTTCACAGAGAGGCAAACCGACCAGGCTGTCCCTCGGAGGAGAGCAGCAGCCTGTGGCACTCACAGAGCAGCTCCATAGCCCGCAGGAGGAATCCCGTAAACTGCTTAGGAGCCTAAGCTGGARGGGTCAATCCTTCGGCAGGCACATGTCTTACGGGAAGTTGGAAGTTACGCAGTTTTGCCTCAGAATCCAAAGTTTGGAACCTCTAGGTAAAATGGCTCCCGACCTCAAATGGTGAATCTGATGCCAATAGCCAGGCTATATGGACAAGGACCAAGCCAACTCCATTTTTCCCTGAGAYTCCACGTCATGTAAGAAATGCTTCTGCCATGGAAAGCCCACCTCTGTGCCCATCAACAGTTGCTTGGCATAGCAAGGTTGGCAACACAAAATGGCGATTCTTATACAATGTGAAAGTGTTCTCTCTTTGGTTTCTGCTTTTCTTGGACAATGTATCCAATCTCTGAGTGTCTAGATGTTAGTAACCATTCTGTAACTTATACACAACTAGGGACTTTTGGCCCACTCTCTTTTCTACTTAGGATTTTAGATCTCATGACGTTTGTTTGTGCTTTTGAATCATAGCAACAGCCACTTGTGCTTTAATATGGTYTTGGACTATAAAAGGTGTACTCAACAGGAGGGGGTCAAAGGATGTAGACTTGCAGCCTCCCTCTTAGCCCACCAGCTGATGGATCTGGACCGCCAACTGGTGAATAAATTTGTCTCCTGTTTTAAGATTGACTCGGTGATTTATTGCTATCTTGCCTTAACACTGTCATAGGCACCTGTCCTTATGTAGCAGAGACAGTGCTGGGTGGGTGCACTGGTGACTTTCACAGTGTTTTCTCAGTGAGCTTGCTCCTRCTGTGGTCTGTTACCTTCCTGGAAACAGAAAGCACACTGGGCTCAGGCACAGTCCACTGTCTGTCCAGGAGCCCATTTTTGTCTGTAATCCTAGGTTTCCAGGAGGCTGAAGCCAGAATATTGCTTGAGTCCAAGAGTCTGGGGCCAGCCTGGACAATGTGATGAGAAAAAAAAWTTTTTTAATTGAGCAAAGCAGGCTTGTCACTTCAACCATGATGTCATTTGCCATGAGGGATAGAATCAATGTTTTCAAGCTGAAGTTAGAATTCTGGAGAGCTTATGTTCGTCATTATAAACTTGACCATGTTCCAAAACTAACTGATTTTTTTCTGTGTCTGTGTCAGTGTGTGTGTGTGTACACTAAGGATTGAATCCAGGGGTGCTCTACCACTGAGCTCTACCCCCAGTGCTTTCTGGTTTTTTTTGAGAACTTGCCTTAAAAAAACCTGCAACCCTCCTGCCTCAGCCTCCCTAGTAGCACAGATATGTGCCAGCATGCCCAGCACTTACTGACTTGTCTGATGAGGCTGAAAGTAATATTTTTATTTATTTATTTTTTAATTTTTATTTTATTTTATTTTTTTGAGTTGTTGATAGACCTTTTATTTTATTTTACAWGGTGCTGAGAATTGAACCCAGTGCTTCACACATGCCAGGCAAGTGTGATACCGCTGAGCYCCAGCCCCAGCCTCTGAAAGTAATATTATCAACTGTGATTTTTAAATTTTGTTTGGAGAAATGGACCAACATTTGGAAGAGCCACATAACTCAGTGAATTAATATTTTCCAAAAGGTCATGTTACAAAATCACTTGTGGGTAGTGACCCATTAGATGTGCCAGGAAGAACAATGGCTTTCGGTCTAAGAGAGCAACAGTTCATTGATGTGGAACCTGCATCCACACCAACAGTCCTGTAAGAAGGTCCATGTGTCCAGCTTAGCTAAGTACCACATTACCTGCAAAGGCTGCAGGAAAACCCCTCTGTTCTCCAAGTATAAACCTCCGCAAGTTCAAATTTTCTTCACACAACCTCTCATGTTGGGCRCAATATCACATGCCTATAATCCCAGTATTCAGGAGGCTGAAGCAGGAGGATTACAAGTTCCAGGCCAGCCTCAGCAATTTAACAAGACCATCTCAGAAAAAATAAAAAGAGATGGGGGTGTGGCTCAGTGGTAAAGCACCCCTGGGTTCAATCCCTGGAACCCCCTCCCCGCCCCCCAAAAAAAACCCCACAAAAGAAACATTACAAGTCACTGAATTCAAAGACAGACAAAAGCACTCTAGTGTTCTTTGGTCCAGTCAGACGTAAAGGAGATTCCCAAAAACATAAAACAGTAACTCCCTTTTCATTCTTTTTCCCTTTTTTCTTTTGGGAAATAGTTATTTTTCACAAACATAGTAGCACAGATATGTGCCAGCATGCCCAGCACTTACTGAGCTGTCTGATGAGGCTGAAAGTAATATTTTTATTTATTTATTTTTTAATTTTTATTTTATTTTAGTTTAGGTCATCACAGAATAACATGGAATAGGCTTCTTTTTCATAGGTTAATAACCTTTTAAAAAAGCCACTTGAGTTACCTTCTAGTGTCACCTGCTTTCATGAGCTCAAAGGCTCCTGTGAAGGGACACCTCTCAGCCTCTGGCCAGGAGAGTTTGGACTGGTGTGAGCGGACCCACCCCAAAGGCTCTGTGGAATTTACGTTTAGCGTCTTAGTTCCTTTACACAAGTTAAACTTCTTGCACATTTGAGAAGATGAGAGGGGAGAGAGGGCATTAGAGAGATTTGGTAACAAAGGGACCTTAAAAATCACSATACCACCCATACCCGTTAGCACAGCTACAACCAGAAAGCCAGAAAATGGGAAGTGTTGGTGAGGACTGGAGAGAGCACACCTCTCCTGCAGGGCTGATGGGAAGGCAGAAGGGGTGGCCTCGCAGAGAGCAAGGGGCTTCTCCTCGCCACCCGCAGCCCCTCCCAGGACTATGCCCCAAGCACTTAGAGCAGGGTCTGCAAGAGGTACCTGCACATCATGATCATAACAGCCTGTTTACAGCAGCACACAGAAGGACCCGCCCAAGCGTCCATCGACAGAAGAGGACCAGCACCAGGTGGCCATCTGTACAATGGAACTTTGGTCARCCTTGAAAAGAAGGACCTTTTGGCACCTGCTCCAACAGGAACCTAAGCCTGGGGCTCTGAGGAATGGTTAAAATGGATCAGAATTCATAGCAAACACAGACAGAAGCTCGACTACTTACTGATTCTGATTCTCAGACCAGTGAGCAGGCCCACCAGGCTGCAGGCTGCAAGCAGAGGGTGACTTTGACCACCCTGACACTGGGTGGCGGGAAACAGAGCAAAGTCTCGGTGGCCCTGTGAGCTGTAATTTCCATGAGAAAAACATCCACAATCTCCATGACTGTAGATCTGATTTAGAAACGGGCCCAGTCTTAAAAGAAATTGAAGCTACGGCCTGTTTCACAAGGTTGCTGCTTTCTAGAAAGCAGAGGGGGCCCTTGGCAGTGGCCTGGGGAGACCTGCCCTGTCTGGCCCAAAACAAAATCTCCACTCCTGCCCCACTTCCTCCACGGAGCATCAGAGTGTCACAGCCCAGCTTCCGGAGCCTGTCCTCTAAGGGAGGTTTGGACGGCCATGGTGGGTGTGATCTGGGGTTGRGGCCAGGAAGGTATGGGAGACCCAGAGAAGTTTCCAGTGTCAGCGCAGATGTTCCAGGACAAGCAGTGGGGCAAGGGCCTGGAAAGCTGTCCAAAGCCTCATGTCATCAAGGAAACACAGGGACTCTAGAAGCAGAGCCCTGTGTTGTCTGTGTGACTGATTAAAATTCCAGGTAGGTAGGCCCTGAGACTAGTGGCCACCACAGGACTCTCGCCAGGGTGGACTTTCTGCACACTTTTAAGTGATGAACAGGTTTTACGTAACCCACCAAGACGGGAAGGCATGCCCATGAGTAAGAAGTGTCACTGTGGTGCCAGGGTTGGAGCTCATTGTATGGTGGACCTTGGATGTGGACAGGTGTGATCAGTTATGGCTGTGTGGTGTCCAGCCATGAAACAGGTGATGGGATCCTGATGACCCCTCAATAGCRAAGGGACGGGATGAGAACCCTCACAGAGCAGGGTCTTGGTGCCACCGATGCAGCCGTCAGCRCTCAGGTCCCAGCCTCCCAACAGCTCTGCCTGGACAGTTTGCAGGTTGGGGTTTCCTGATGGTGGGTGACATGTCCCGAGGAGAAAGAGCAGCACACAGCCACTGTTTGTCCTACCACACATGCTGGAAGCAGAGCACTTCCATGACCTTGCAAATGGACTCTTCTCAGTCAGCAGATCCCTGGTGGACAACTTAGCTTGGTTTTGACACTGTCCACCTGGAGACAGTATCAGATCCTATAAGTCAAGGGCTCAGTCCCTGAGACAACCCCTCCTCAGACACCAGTCTCAAGTTGATTGGGATCTGTGCTTCTGACTGACCCTCTGTGAACTGGAGGTTCCCCCRTACCCCACCCACCTGCCCCAGACCAGGTTTGACCATTTGCTGGCAAGACTCACAGAACTCTGAAAGACTCACAGAAACACTGTCCTCATGTTTACCCACTTTTATGAAGGGTACAACTTGGGTTGTGGCCAGCCCCCATCCAGGAGCCCACCAGGAACCACCTCACTGGGACAAAAGATGATCCTGTCACTCTGGAAACTCCCAGGGATTAGGCACTCTGGACTGAACAAGGGTCAAAGGACAAATATTAAGACAAAAGATGTTACCAGCACCCCTATTGCTCAGGAAACAGCAAGGATTTTAAGGAGTTYGGTGCCAGTCACCAAAGACAAAGATCAAAGTGTATATTTTTTACTATGAATCACAATTTCACAAATTATGTCCCCCCCAAATTCATAGGTTGATGTCCTAATCCATGGTACCTGAGAATGTGTCCTCACCTGTAGATTTTTAACTTTACCAAGTTAAAATGAGGTTTTAGGTTGGGCTCTAATCCAACATGACAAAAATTGATACACATTTATGGGACACACAGACACAGGTGCAGGGAGAGGACTGTGTGACCGCACAGGGTAAGATTGTGGTGATACTTCTACAAACCAAGGGACATCAGAGATGGTCAACAAGCTACCAGAAGCTGGGCAATGCCAAATTCTGCCTCACAGTCTCTAGGGAATGTGGCACATCTTGAGACTGGACCTCTGGCCTCTTGCACTGTAAGAGAAAACATGTCTGTTATTTAAGCCACTCAGTTTGCAGTACTTGGTGACAGCAGCCCTATGAAATGGACACTCCTGATGTAAAGAGACTTGGAATCAGCAAAAGTAAAAAAATAACTGACCCCACTGGGAAACTACACATTCTGTCTAGCTCTCCCTTCTGGGTTACCCCAGGCTAGTTTTTTATTGCCTTTGGACTATTTTCAAGTTTGAGTTCTAGATGAGGAATGACAATAGAAATGACTTTTTTTTTTCCCTTTGGTACTAGAGATTGAACCCAGGGGTTAAACTCTGAGCCATATCCCCATCCCTTTTTATATTTCAGAGACAGGATCTTGCTAATTTGCTTAGGGCCTTGCTATGTTGCTGGGGCTGGYTTTGAACTCACAATCCTCCCACCTCAGCCTCCTGAGCTGCTGGGATTACAAGTGTGCACCACTGCACACCRCTGGAAATGATTTTTGTCTGTGTACAAGCTAATGCATTCTGTGTAGTGGAGGGACAACCCTGAGTCCCCCAAACTGTTCCACTCAAAAGCACAATTTAGAGCTCATTTAAATACACCTAAACATTAAATGTGTATGTTCTTCACATTCTCCTTTGAACTGGTTCTAACATGTTACCAGTTCCCTATTCAATTAACAAATTCAAAAGCATATTTGGCACATGCCCAGGGCATAGCTATATGACAATATGGTTCTTCTTTTTTTGGYCAAAATTATTATTTTTTTAACATTGGAAAGCCTCAAATTGGGCTGTGGSTGGCATTTCTCTGCTGCATTTTGCTGGGATCTTTGTGGGGGAAGTGAGTGGTGGGGACAGCAGCCCTACCCTGATCTCTTTAGGACTTCATTGTGGGAAYTGCTTTCTTGAGAARATGTGAGGCTTGGGAATGGAGAACTGAGGGTCCTCAGAGCCCCACTGCTCTTCATTCTTCTCAGCTCAGAGGCCTTACGATGCAGGAAGTGCTGGTTTCCTCTTCTGCACTCCATGAGAGACCCACTGTTGTCCTGCTGGAAGATAGAGGGAACTGGATCCCAGAAGTGGTTCACCCCGTTTAAACCACAAGGCAAGTGGCAAAGCCACTGAACATCCAGGACTCCAAGGATGACACCATTCCTGCCTCCTGTGGGCAGGCCTGAGATCGTCCCCAAAGATCCCCTCTCCCCTTGAGTGTGGGCAGGACTTCACCTTGCTTCTGTTCTGCGAAGGGGATGGGATGTCACCATTTTCATGATTACATAAGATTGTAAATTCTGTCTTCCAAGCAGAAGTTTTGACACCCCAGCTGCCATGGGTGAGCTGCCTATGGCAAGATCCACATGGCCAGAAATCAGGGGAACTCTAGCCAACACTCAGCAAGGAGCTGAGGCCCTCAGTCCATCCATCCACACAGAAGAACTTCAGCCTGCCAACATCCAGACCCTTCCCCAAGGGACCTTCAGATGAGACCCTGCCCTGGCTGATACTCCTACTGCAGAGAGAGGCAAGGAAGCAGAGGACACACTGCGCCATGCCCAGACTCCCGACTCACAGAAACGGAGAGCATGATGGGCACTGTTTTAAGCCACTACGTTTGAAATGATTTCTAGGCCAGCAGTAGATAGTGAAGCAGCATGCTCTAGAAACATTCACCCACCATTCACCATCTCAGGTGTGCGATGTAAAAGAAATAGAGCAAAATTCCTGCTCTGATGGATCATGGATTCTAGAGTTGGATGTGTGCGTGTTAGGCAACAGACGTAAGAAATAAGTGATACAGGGCGTTAGCCAGGGTTCTCCCCAGAGACAGAACCAAYAGGCTACCCAGCTGGAGACAGGATGCCCAGAGTGAATGTACTGGCTTGCATGGTATCGCAGCAGTGAGAGCCTCACAGCAGGCTGTGTGCCGGCTGGCGACTCTGGGATGGCTCCTCCATCCTCCTCCTCAGGCCTCCAAACCAGGGAAGCTGATGGTGTAACTTCCAGTTAAAGGACGGAGACCTGGAATTCTGGTGCCCAAGCAGGAGGTGGACATGTCCCAGCTCTGTGAGGTGAGGGGACTCCATTTCGCCTTCTGTGTTTGTTCTCCTTGAGGGCTCTCGGCTGATTGGGTGGTGCTCACCCATACAGAGGGTGGATCTTCCCCACYTGGTCCACATGCTAAGCTCTGGAAACACCCCAGCATCCACACCCAAAGAAATGCCTTGCCAGATTTCTGGGGATTCCTTTSTCCAGCCAAGGTGGCATGTAAAATTGGCCATCACAAGTGTCCTAGTCTGTTCAGGCTGTTAGAACAACGCAGACCAGTGACGTATCAACTCATTTTTTCTTCGCAGTTTTGGAAGTTGAGAGTCTGACATAAGCTGGCCAGCGTGGCTGGGTCCCTGGTGAGGGCTCTTCTGATTTGGGGATGGCTGCCTCCATGCTGTGTCCTCACATGGTGGCAACAGGGAGCTCTGGTTCCTTCCTCTCCTTGSAAGGGCACTAATCCCATCATGGGGCACACCCATGATCTCATCTAAGCCTAATCACYTTGGAGGCTGCACATTGGGGATTAGGGCTCAATATCACCAATGCTACTTAACRTAGCACATGCTATTGTTCAATGGTTACAAAGTGTGTTAGAAGTGCCTACACAACACAGGAAGGCAGTGTGAGGAAGGTGGGGAGTGGGCTGGGTGGGAGTCTGCTAGTTTAAGCCTCTCCTGGGAGAGTGATTGGAGCAAAGACTGCAGGAGGGAGATGGCCATGCAGGTACATTGGGGAGGAGCACTTCATGCAGAGGAACACTTCATACAAAGGCCCTGAGACTGACTCACCCCTGGAGTGASAGAGGAGAAGCCAGAGGCCCTGACTAGAGCAGATGAAGGGCAGAGTGGGTGGAGTGCAGGTCAGAGGTACAAGGGCAGAGGGAAGATCTTGCATGTCCTCAGGGGTCACTGCAAGAACTTTGCTTTTACCCTTGGAGGAGTGGCATGCTCCAACCACTAAATGCTGGTCACTCCACCTCCTGCCCACTCTTGCAAATTGGAGAATTTATAAATCAGCCAAACTGRGCACCTTAATAAGCAAGATACCTGCCCTGTTCTGAGATAGTTTGTTGATGAAGACTTTCCAGAATMCTAGACATCCTTTGAGGACACCCAAAGCCCTGCCTTCTCCCACCTCCTCTGGCTGTATTCTCAGATCCCAGCAGGGTGGGCTGCATCCATCTGGCTTTGTGCCCTGGGCAGGAAGCTGTTCTGCGCAGGGCCTACATCCTACCTTTCTGTTAGGTCCCCTGCTGGTGTGTGCCCAGGAGCTCTCTCCTTCTGGCTTCTCAGCTTCTCTGTTTTGGCAGAGTTCTGCCATTCCTGTGGCTTTCCACCAAGTGCTGCTCCACCAGCCTGCCCTGCAGCTACCATACCTTTTCCTTGCTGCTCCAAGGGGCACAGTCCATGAGTGCCTGTGACCATCTGGCCCTCCCCTTCCCTGTTTCCCCAATGGGGTTTATATATGCTGCRGCCACCAACACTCCAAGGATTAAAATGCCCTATTAATGAGAATGATAGATGAATTTTAAGGAAAGCAATGACGGGGGCTGGGGATGTGGCTCAAGTGGTAGCGCGCTCGCCTGGCATGCGTGCGGCCCGTGTTCGATCCTCAGCACCACATACAAACAATGATGTTGTGTCTGCCGAGAAATGGAAAATAAATATTAAAAAATTAAAAAAAAAAAAGGAAAGCAATGAGTAAGGGTGTTGGTTTTCTAAATAAGTTCATGTCCAAGTGAAAAAGAGAAAAGCAGATTGCATATTTAAATTCCRGTGTTCTTTTAACATTACAAGTTTTACCCAGTGTCCCTGGCAGTACAAGTGTCCCAGTGTTGTGTTTCTATAAAGAATAACTGTATATGTGGCTTTTAATTTTATATACCTAAACAATATCTTTCGGAAAATAGTAACAAATCTTTGGGAAACATACATAAATTCAGATTCTTTCCCTTAAGGAAAGTCTCCTAATGTACGAGTTTCAAGGCCCCTGATGTGTGGGCCCCTCTTTGGAGGTGAATTGGTGGCAGATCCCAGCAGGAAAGGMACAGTGGGACAGACAGAGAAGGCTCAGCTGCTGAGACCGGTTGGAAGGTGGGCAGGTCTCTCATCTGCTTCTGGACTTTGGGACAGCAGCTTGTACTAGGGGGTGCCAGGTGACTCCTGCTGCCTCTCAGACTGGATGGGACCAAATGAAAGCTTCAATCAGAGGCCCAGTCTAGGTGAGGGTAGCAAGGCCAGGGGCCCTTCATGGGTGTGAACCAGTATCAATTTCAGGGCCTGCTTAGAAAACCCAGTCTTGGTTCACTTTCTGCTGGTGTTGCCCAGAAATTCTTGATAATTTTTAAGATCTTACACTTCCACTTTGCACTAGGCCCTGCAAATTTTGTAGTGGTCTTGATTACTGAACTTTCTGGCCTCCCCCTAGTGCCTGCTGGAAGCCTTTCCACCCCAGCTACCCTCCAGCCCTGAGTTCTGGCCCTAGGTCTGGTTTCCTCCTGGGGGAGCATGGGGTCAGCAAAGCTGGCCTGCCTCCTTCAAGCTGTGTGTGGACTCAGTGCCCGACCTCACGCGGTGAGCCACTGCATAAGTGAATGTCAGCAACTTCGTGTGACCTGTCAGACCAACCACGCACTTCCTTGAGCGCTGTTCCTACGTCTTCGAGTGAAACCACGGGTGGGACCCGTGGGTACACTGCGACAGATGATCTGATTAGGACGATTTTCTTAAGTGCAGCAAGAAATGGAGACAATGTCCAACCCTCCTTAGGCTGACATTTCCTGGAGCTGGGGTCACCTGGGCAGGAGGGTGCACTCCAGGGGGACCAGGCGGACTAAAAGGCAGTCCGCAGTCACAAGTGAACTTCACGGTTGGGGCGCGCCTTGGTGTGGAGTCCTCATACCAAGGGGAGAGAGGGCGCACGGGATTAGGTCCATGGGCAGAGACCCAGGCTTGGGGTACACCCGCCGCCAAAGATTGTGGTGCACATTTGCATCCCCCGCACTGTCCTAGCCCGCACCCACCTGGGCGGCAGAACTCCGGCAGCAAGGCGGCGGGAAGGGCGGGAGTCTGCACCCAAAGAGCGTCTAACCGCGCGTGGACAGTCTGCGCCTGACGCCCTGCGCGGCCGGGGCCTCAGATGGTACATTCCTCATGCCCTGCCTAGACCACAGATGGTTCCGACCGGTTCCGCGCACTTCTCCCCGGTCGCCGCGGAGCGCGCAGAGGGACGTGGCCACGCCTCACTGAATAGTCATGAGGTGGGAAGCTCGGCCTCCGGGGCGGGGCAGGCCACTCCTCGCGCCCCGACGCGACCGGCCGGGGCGGGGCCTGGCTGCGGACGCGAGGGGCGGGGCCGGGGTCCGCTCCGCCCCCGCGCAGGCCCCACCCCGCGCCCGCCGCCGCGCAGGGCGGGGGCGGGGCCCGTCGGCAGCAGGCCCCGCCCCCGCGGTGAATATTGATGCGGCGCGCGTCGGCGTCGCCCTCCTCCCATTGAGCGAGGCTGTGTCGCGTGGCCCGGCGTCGGCGTGACGGTTGGACGCGGGCGCGGCACTGCGGGTCCCGATTGCTGCAGCCGCTTGTCAGTGTGATGAAGATTGGCACCCAGGTAAGCTGTCACTCAACCGCTCCGCCGCCGCCGCCGCCGCTCTCGCCGCCGCCGTCCCTATCAATCACACCGGCCGCGGCGGCCACTGCYGCACCGCTGCGCCGCCTCGGGTCGGGCGGGCGGCGCCCGGGCCCGCACTGGCCCCGCCGCCCGGGGCTGGGGGCGGGCGCGGGGGAGGGGAGCGCGGCCGGGGGAGGGGGCGCMGTCCGCCCGCGGCGCGGGGGCGCGCCCGGCCTGTTTTCCTCTGTGGGCTCAGGGACGCGGAAATTTCTGGAAGGCGCCGCGGCCGCCGCGCAGGGCCCGCTCGAGGCGCGCGCGGCTAACCGTCCCTTTCGGAGTGCGGCGCGCGCCCCTGCGCGGGCGGCGGGGGTGGCGGGGGCGCGCCGAGCCGCGGGCCGGGTGCGGGCGGGGGCGCGCGGGCCGGGGCGGGCCGAGGGTCGGAGCGGGTGTGGCGGGCCGGGCCCGGCCCGGGGACGCGGCGGAAGATGGCGGCGGGGTCCCGGTGCGGGGTCCCGGTGCGGGGTCCCGGTGCGGTGCGGGGTGGCGCGGCGAGGTCCCGGTGCGGTGCGGGGTGGCGCGGCGAGGTCCCGGCCGGTGCTGGGTGGCGGGTCCCGGGCCGCGGCGCGGGGTCGGGCGGGGCGGGCGGGTCGCGGTGTCGGGCGGCGCGGGGCCCGGGCGCGGCGGAGGGGTCCCGCGGGCGGCCGGTGGGGGTTCCGGGAGGGGTTCCAGTGTGCGCTAGACACAGCCSGTCCGAGTAGCTCCTGGGGAAGAGTTTGGCACGGGTGTCCCCGCGGTGGACCGCACGTTCCTTGTGAGAGAACTCGCCTGCTGGGTTCCGCGGTGCCCTGCGATGCCCGGCTTGGAGAGTGGCCCCGGAGCGACCGCCGGGCCCCGCCGAGGACGCTCGGATCCTCTACCCCGTAGACGGTGCTGCGCGTAGAGCGGTACGAGCCGGGAGCGGCGCCTGCACTTCGCTAAATTGATGGCCGACTTGGAGCAGTTCAAGATGGATTTGTCATAGACCAGGGGCTCTAACGTCATCATTTAGGTAGCTTGTGAGAGTGGCTTATTGTAAAAGTCACCGATTTTTCCTGAAGATGTTGGTACTTTTCGTCAAAGGATAGAAGAAAACCCCAGCTTTAGGCCTCATCTCATGATGCTGAAAAAAGGAGTGTTCTGTTGGTAATATAAAGATGAGTTTAAGTGAACTGCCAACGTGTTTGCCAGTACAATTACTGGCGATGCGGTTGAATCTGGTTGACTTGGAAGGTGGCACACTGACTCTCATCTTCTTCATCTCTTGTTCTTTAATGTATTTAGGGTGGAGAGTGATGTGTGGATCATCTAGCTGCAATAGTTGATGGATCTAAAATGTACCCTTGTGTTAGGTACCACTGCTCACAATTCCTATGGATGCACTGCTTTCTTAGCCGGCCAGTTGAAGTATTGAAAAGTTAAGTGTGCTTTAAAATTGAGTAAACTTGTCCCGTGGAGGATGGCCAGTTCTAAAGATTAACAATCTCTGTTTATAATTTTAAGTGTCAGCAAGTTACCTGGTTAATGATCTGAGGTTCCTGTTCTCTAGCTTACATTTAGTTACATTTCTGTGACAGTGTAACCTAATTTTAGGGAAGTCCTAATTGTGAGTAGCAGAAATGGTCGTTACTTGAGTAGTAACATTTCTGTTTACAATTTTCATTTTTGTTTCTAATTGTTAACTGTCTGAAACTTTAAAAGAAAAGCCTGAAGGTGAGAAAGTGATGCAGAGTGTAGACCTCAGGGACCTTGACTCTCCCAGGCCAAAATAAAAATTTCAAGAATAGAACCAATGATTTTGAAATAGTCATCAAAACATTGAACCAAATTATTGATAGAGTCCAATCTGAGCCTTCTGTTAACACAGTACATCACCCATCAGTGGCTCTGGTAAGTCTTTTGGAGTAGTAGTGAGATTTCCCTGATAACCTGTGCTTTGTGAACATGTCTGTCACTGACCTGCTGAAACTCCAGGGCTTATTATCTGCTTTCATCATTGAAGAAGTGCTAAATTTCAGCTAGAAGTTATTGCAGATAAATATTTTTCCCCTTAGGTTCACATAGCAAGTTCTTCAATAGAAGTTCATGAACGCTGAGCCCCTCCTTTATTAGGAATATGGATGGATGTGTTCTTTTTCCCACTTCCTGACACAGTTTTGTTGATGGCAGAGGTGACTAGGAATTCAAATAGCAGGGCAAGGGAAACAGCTTAGCTGTGTAGGCTCATGGTGAGGCAAGTCTGTGAGGGTGAGAGAAGTAGCCACGGCTGCAGGAAAGGCTATCTCCCACTGGTTGTACTGACTGAGCAGCTGTTATGGGTCTGTCCTCAGCTGTTTTAAGAAGAAATGTAAAGTGGATGTATGGTGTGCAAAAAGTTCAGTCTGGAGATGGATGAACATTTGAGGACTAGAAGGCATGGTCATTTGTTGAGAAGTGTCTGTAGGTCTGGCCACCAAAGGTGGCCAAGTGTCCTGCAGATGAGAGTGAGTGCCAGTTACCTAGCTTGCTGCCTGCTCTCTGCAGGTAGGTGTTAGACTTTGTCAGTCGCTGCCAGTTTATTGTTTCTGAAAAATTCACAAAGAGAGCAAGCAGTGTGATATTATAGCAAATAAGTTGTTAAATCTGTATTTAAAAACTGTTGTTCCTTTGAAGCTGTGTGAGTCTAAGGACATGCCTTAGGGACTTKCGAAGAAGATGGAGCAGCCTCTTAATTCTAAGAAATTTTTGGGATAAAGGTCTACAGCTTAATCTTGAAAACTGCCAATCTGCCAGGTTGAGAGACTGAGGGTCTGTGAACTAGTACAGCATTTGGATTTATTGTGCCAGGGGTGTTGCTTGGTGGCAGAGTGCATGCTCAGCAGGCGCAAAGCCCCAGATTTGATCCCTGCATTTACACATACATACTCAAATGGGATTCATTTTACCATCTGAGGCCTTTCCCTAAAATGATATGGGGTGATCATGCTGACAGGGCAAGCCATGAGGCTGTACCTTTCTTCCCTCCTTGGGTTAAGCTGCTCAGCATGAATTGTTAGTGTCCCTGCCTGAAGGAGATTATTTGTGCCCAGGATGATATTGCTACTCTAAAGGTCTGTGTTCCTTAGCTTATCCTCTAGCAAGCATAAAGCTGTCTCTAGGTGAGGCTGCAGAGGGAGGTCTGCTGTGGTCACCAGGAGTAAGCATAAAGAAATCTAGTGGGACCCCTGGAATCAACATATTGCTGAATGTCTGGGCAAGTGGAGCCATGGTTCAGCTCTGTGTTAGCTTTTCATCACTGTGACCAAAATACCTTACGACAACTTAGAGGTGGAAAAGTATTTGGGGTTCACAGTTTCAGAGGTTCAGTCCATGGTTGGCAGATTSCTTTGCCCCGGACCTGAGGTGAGGCAGACCTTATGGTGAAAGAGTGTGGGAGGCAAGCTGCTTAACTCTTGACAGCCAGGAAACAGAGTTGTGGGGTGGGGAGAAGATATGCTAGGGACAAAATATAAACCCCAAAGGCACACCCCTACTTCCTCAAGCCATGTACCACCTATCTATAGTTGCCACCCTATTAGTCCATTCAAATTATTAATCCACCAGATAGATTAATCCACCAAAAGGATTAATCCACTGTTAGATTACAGCTTTCATAATTTAATCATTTCTCTGCTGAACATTCCTGCATTAACACAGCAGGAGCTTTGGGGAACACCTTATACAAGTCATAATAGGCTCTGATGGGATCCACCTGCCCACCAGGGATCTTGGCTGCCTTCAGGAAATTAGACTATTACGCTCAGCTCTGTCCTCCTTTCTGCACACTTGACTTCCTCTAGCTTGGGCCCCACCCAGCTCTACCTTGCAGCCTCTCAGTCCCCAGTGCTACCTGTCTGATCCTCTTCCCTTTCCCAGCACACCTCAGAGAGAGACTGACCAAGCTCTTTTCTCTAACACCCCACACTCGGGCGCTGACCTGTGAGCAGGGGGCTGCCTGGTGCAGTGAGGAATGTTGGGCTTCTGCATCTGCACAGTGCCCCTCCTTACAACAGGGCCTACAGTTGGGGTGGGTCGCTCAGGTTGTGGATTGCTAGGTACCATGATTGCAATTTCTAAAACAGTCTGATCAGATTTGTGCAAAAATAATGCCTTTATGAGAGCTTAGTAGACTCTCAATATATTTAGTTATATCTTCTCCAAGATGTCTTATTAAGATTTGCATTTTTGTGTGTGTGCTAGAAGAAATTAAGGTTATAACTATAGGAAAAAGGAAAATTATAAACATTAAATTGTCAAACTTCACATTTAAAAAAATTCAGTTATATKTTTATGGGTACTTTCCCCAAACTTTTATTGTAGAGCTCTATTTGTATAGTTATATATACAGATTTTACTGTCTTAATTAATTTCAAGTGCACTGCTCAATGGCATTTAGTTCATTCATGTTCTGCATCCATCTACCTCCAGAACTGTTTTCATCTTCTTAAACTGAAACTCCTCATGGTTAAACAAACTCCTCTTTCACCCTCTCCCCAGCCCCTTGGCAACCACCATTCTAYTGTCTCTCGGAATTTGCCTGTTGTAGGTACTTCAGATAAGTGTAATCACATAATACTTGTCTTTTTGTGATTAACTGTTTCATTTAGCAAATGTTCATCCAATATTTCAGCATGTGTCAGAATTTCCACATTTTTAAAAGCTGACCAATCTTCCATTATATGTACCACATTTTGTTTATTCATCCATTTTCTGGGTACTTGAGTTCTTTCACTGTTTGGTTATTGTGAATAATGTGGCTACAAACACAGGTGTGCAAATAACTAAGTTCCTCTGGGTGTAGATTAAGAATTAGAATTCTATATCATATATTAGTTCTATGTTTAACTTATTCCCTGCCGYGCCCTCCCCACACCCTCCCACCCCCAGTACTGGGGATTGAACCCAGGGTGYTCTACCACTGAGCTCCATCCCCACCCCTTTTTATT